CAAATATTAATTCAAAGCACCTAATTGGATTTTTCTACCTTGAGAACTTTATAAACATTCTAATTACTAGAGTCTAGGACTGAAATTCCCAAGTTGTGATATAATTCTCTTTCTGCATCTCCAGGTGGTGTTTTAAAAGAAAGTGGGTCCCTTATGAGCCCTAATGAAGGCTCCCCCTGGGCTTCCTTAGCCATTTTAAATGAACCCTAAAAAGGGACCTCATGTCTGAAACTGCAGTGTAAAGAAGCCTTAACTGTGCTCCCCAAAGATCACCAAGAGAAACATTTACTTTGGAGACTTAGTATTTGGGGAGTTGGTATTTTTTTCTGTAAAGTGAGTGTCAGTTCTCCCCATATTAAAAAAAAAAACAAACCTGTCTGTAGACTTTGGGGAGGAATTATAACAAGTGTGTGCTACTTATGGAGTGCTTGTTAGTTACACACTGAAGACATCATTTTCCTCAGGGAAGAGTAGTAGCAAGCCTAGGGATGGTGGCATGTGCCTCCAATCCCAGCATCTAGGAGGCTCACGCAGGTGCAGGTTTGAGGCTAGCCTTAGTATATAGTGGGGAAGGGAGGGATCAGATTACGTGTTAGGCCATATCCAGACTTGGGGTCATAATGGCACTGCAGTTCTTGTCCTCTTCTACCATTTCCCAGTTTGTTAGACATATGTACCAGTGGCACTTGCTTTGTACAGAAATTCCTAATAGCCAAGCCATTCCTCTATTTGTGTGTATAAATAAGATTCAGAGAAATTGTTGTTAGGTTTTAAAAAAGGAGTATAAAAGTTCAGCTAAGGTCATGAAGAGTTAGGGTGGGGGGCTGATATACTACTATGAATAGCAAGTTGACACCAAGCATTTTAGAGCCTGTTTTACTTTTTCTCTTTAAGTGGCATAAAATAGAACTTAGGTTATTTTGATTTTGACTCAACTTAGAGAATCAGTTCGGTTTGGGATTTTCCATGTAGACAAAGGCAGCAGATGGCCTCTTGCAGGCTGAAGTCGTGTTGCTTCCGTTCTAGGGGAAAAGTTGCTGATGCTCCATACAGTCCCATCTCCTGGGGGAGCAGGCAGATCTTACTCAGGTTTACATATTTTCAGGTGTGTGAATGTGTGTGTGTGTGTGCTTTCTTTTCACAAAGGACCTGACATTTAGGCACAGGATAATCCCTTAAAGGAACTATCACCGCAGCCCTTTTTTATACGCATAGGCCGTGAAATGCAGCGTTCTTGATGGCACACTGAGGGAAAGCTGCTGAGTGTTCATGGCTTCTTAGCTTTGTCTGTCCCCTTCCCTAGGTTTCAGTTTTCAGTCAGGCTCTATTTTGTGATCATCTTTAAGAGCATAATGCCTATGGTACTGAATATTGCCCCAATAAAGCATTGTGGGCTCCAATAACTGTGTAATAGGGCGATACCTACATGGATAATTACAAATCTCAGTATCAGGAAGTAGATACACCAGGTATGTCAGAGGTTCTGTGGGTATGCTGAGTGAACAGTAACTGTCAGAAGATCTCTAGGGTAGGTAGGATTTGAAAAGTTAGGATGAAATGTAGATATATTCTAAACTACAGATGTAATCATGGCAGAGGAAGGAGCAGTTGGCACAGTAGTATGTGTTGGGAAGCAAAGTTTGAGGGTATGGAGCCCAGAGCATCAGTAGTACTGTTATTGAAATTAAGTTCTGGAAAAGCAGGTGAGGTTTGCAGTTAGAGTTTAGGAGAATTAGGTGAGCAGTTTTATTTCATTCCTGTACTTTAAACTAGTCCAGTAATGTAGCTATGGTGCTTCCACTTAAAACTTAATCTCCTTAGGCAGAGTACAGCGATGGCACTTGATGAGGAGCATCGACCATTTGTAGTAGTTACACATGGAATGATGGGAGTCACGTTTAGCGCTGTCTTTTAAAACGTGGTTTGATTTTTCTGAGTGTATTTGCTATATGAAGTGATTCAGTAATTTGTAGGAAAGGGAACTTGGAAGAGCATTTCCAAAATGTGAAGAAAAGTCCTGGGGACCTAGTTTGGACCCCTAGAGAATACGCATGTCTGAGAAGCAAGAGCCTTTTGAGTTCAATTGGAAAGGGGGGGAACTGAGTAGAAGCAGAACACTTCACCTGATTGCCTGAAGAACACTTTAGGGAAGAATTCTGAAACCAAGTAGGAAAATTCTAGTCTAATCCCTAGTCGTCTTATTTTTGTGGTATTACATTAAACTTTTTAATAATTATGAAATTATATAGGCAGTATCATTTTGAGTTTTAGAACTTACCAAAAGGTGCGTATCATTAAATATTTGTCTTGAAGATAATTTAGTAGTCTTGTACCTGGGTGTATACCGTGACAAACAGAATTAATTACTTTAGAAACCAGAAAATAAGGGCCAGGTTTTTTTAAATGATGTGTTTAGTTGGTCGGCCTTTAGAACTCTGAGGTTGTCTTTAACAACTATGAAAATACCATAATAAAGGAAGAAAGTTTAATTGCTAGTATGAAAACATGTTTAAAACGATTTCCTTTGAGTAATGTTGTCTGTTTTTGTCTTTAGGTATAATTGTGTCCAGCACTGTTCTGATCTTGTCACAGCGATCGCTCTTCAAGTTTTACATGTACAGCTCAGCCTTTCTCCTAGCTGCAACTTCAGTGTTAGTGAATTACTATGCTGCTTTGTACATTGACTTCTATGGTACCTACAACACATCAGCTTTTGGCATCGAGCTGCTTCTCCGGAAAGGGCCGTCACTGTGGATGGCGCTCATCGTTCTGCAGCTGACCCTTGGAATTGGATATGTCACTCTACTCCAGATTCAGTCCATCTATTCACAGTTAATTATTTTGAATATCTTGGTTCCTATAATCGGCTTAATCACAGAGCTACCATTATACATCAGAGAGACTTTAATTTTCATCTCTTCTTTGATTCTCATAGTAAATACATTGCTTGTCTTGGCAGTGAAACTCAAGTGGTTTTATTATTCCACACGGTATGTTTACCTGTTAGTGAGGCATATGTACCGAATTTATGGATTACAGTTGTTGATGGAGGACACATGGAAGAGGATTCGTTTCCCAGATATACTCCGGGTCTTCTGGCTAACAAGAATTACAGCTCAGGCTACAGTATTAATGTATATTTTAAGGATGGCAAATGAAACTGAGTCCTTCTTTATTTCTTGGGATGATTTCTGGGACCTCATTTGCAATCTAATAATTAGTGGATGTGATTCTACACTAACTGTTCTAGGCATGAGTGCTGTAATTTCTTCAATAGCCCATTATTTGGGCCTTGGAATCTTGGCCTTTATTGGATCAACTGAAGAAGACGACAGGCGGCTTGGCTTTGTAGCACCTGTTTTGTTTTTCATTTTGGCTCTTCAGACTGGTTTAAGTGGGCTGAGACCTGAAGAGAGACTTATTCGCTTGAGTAGAAACATGTGCCTTTTATTAACTGCAGTCCTGCATTTCATCCATGGAATGACAGACCCCGTATTAATGTCTCTCAGTGCCTCCCACGTATCATCATTCCATAGACACTTTCCTGTGCTGTTTGTCTCTGCTTGCCTGTTTATTCTTCCTGTTTTACTCAGTTATGTCCTCTGGCATCACTATGCACTAAACACATGGCTGTTTGCGGTCACAGCCTTCTGCGTGGAGCTCTGCTTGAAAGTGATAGTCTCTCTCACCGTTTATACGCTGTTCATGATTGATGGCTACTATAACGTCCTCTGGGAAAAGCTTGATGATTATGTCTACTTTGTTCGCTCGACAGGCAATATTATCGAATTTATATTTGGAGTGGTAATGTTTGGGAATGGGGCCTATACCATGATGTTTGAGTCAGGAAGTAAAATTCGGGCTTGTATGATGTGCCTACATGCATATTTTAACATCTACTTACAAGTAAAAAATGGTTGGAAGACATTCATGAATCGTAGAACTGCTGTTAAGAAAATCAATTCACTTCCTGAAATAAAAGGGAGCCACTTGCAAGAGATCGATGATGTATGTGCAATCTGCTATCATGAGTTTACAACATCCGCTCGCATCACACCATGTAATCATTACTTCCATGCACTGTGCCTTCGAAAATGGCTGTACATTCAAGATACTTGTCCAATGTGCCATCAAAAAGTGTACATCGAAGATGATATCAAGGACAATTCAAATATATCTAACAACAATGGATTTATTGCACCCAACGAAAATCAGAATCCAGAGGAAGCTTTAAGAGAAGATGCTGCTGGATCTGACCGGGAATTGAACGAGGATGACAGTACAGACTGTGACGATGATGTTCAAAGAGAAAGGAATGGAGGGACTCAGTGTACAGGCGCAGCAGTGGCAGCAGAATTTAATGACGACACTGATTAAAGTAGCATTTACTAATCATTGAGGTATTTGTTTAAAATTCAGTTCATCCAAAATGGAGTATTATGCTTCATGTCAGTGTGTAACCAAGCACAAAAACAGTATCGCTGTTGAAACTGTGAATGATTTTCCGTTTACTGTGATGTGCTACTGTAAATATACCTCTTTAATTACTTCTGGTCTCTTTGGTGACCTATTTAAATTTGTGTACATTATTGTACATAGAATAAAATGTTTTCACGTTTCTATGACAAAATCTGAACAAATAACTTCTTAATAGAGATGATACAGTGCGTCAGCTGTGCCAAAGAGTCCTCCGTGAAGTTAGAACATATCTAATGCTGGACCCTAGGTTTTCTTTAAAATAAGGGGAAAATGAAAATGCAAAATAAAGGAACTTTAGTATAAAATTAAAGATGAGATAAAATAATTTGGATTAGAGGGGCTGGAGAGATGGCTCAGTGGTTAAGAGCACTGCCTGTTCTTCCAAAGGTCCTGAGTTCAATTCCCAGCAACCGCATGGTGGCTCACAACCATCTGTAATGGGGTCTGGTGCCCTCTTCTGGCCTGCAGGCATACACACAGGCAGAATATTGTATACATAATAAATAAATAAATATTAAAAAAAAGAAAACTTATAAAAAAATAATTTGGATTAGAAAGGCTACTAATTTTTCTTTTTTAAATGAAGGAACAATAACCTACAAGAAGCAACTGAGAAACTTGAAATCCAAGCTGTAATAGAGCGGGGTTCAAAAGTCATGAGTCAGGGACTGAAAATTGAGAAATAGGCTTGTTATCAACTAAGCTTTGATATAAACCAGGATGTGCTGTACAAGTTTTAGGTAAAAACATCACTGTCCTTTCAGACTTTTGGTGAAATCACACAATAAAAAGGTTACTGTGGTCAACCAGGACATCAAGGGCCTAGCCAGTGCTGCTCTGACTCTGGGTCAGAGTGAGGGTATAACGTACAGTGTTACCGCTTTGGAGAGATCTCCTTAATGACACCACAGTCTACCATGAACTCCCACAGCAGAAAAAGAAAACACCTACAAATAAGCGTCAGGAAAAAAATACTTTAATGGTGTTGTTATATAGCGTGTTGGCTAATTCCAGTGGATCTTCTTCTCTTACTGCTGCCATTATTTCCAATATTTGGCTAAAACAAAACACAAAGAATCAACTTTCTAAGAATATATTGTTTTAAATTAAAGGTGATTATATATAATCCCCTTTTCCTGTGTAAGAGAAGATCTTGTACCCTTCCTAAGGAAGTTTAAGAGTTATTAAAGTTGTCAGTAATAGCAGTAGGAAAACATTACCAGTTGCTGGCAATCAAAGTTCTGGAGCTAACATGCATATAAAGAAAACTAGAAAGCAGGGTCATGTAAGCGCAGCACTAAGGCTGCAGGGGGTGTGAGTTCTTTAGGCTGTAGTCACAGCACATTTGTTACTGGATAATGAACATCTTAAAAATGGAATGTGTGTTGTACATAATACAGCCTAAGTTCCTTTCTACTTTGGGTTTCATTTTATTTATAATATACATATATTATACATATAAATGTATAATGATGGTGTTAGGAGAGCAGGGCCAAAAACTTGAAAGGCACTGCTTACTGAAGTAGTCTTTAACAGACAGCAAGGGATGGTTGTGTGCTCAGTAAACACATGATGGCAGGTACAGAAGGTGTGGCTGTGGGAGGGTTCTGGTCTTGTGCTCAGAGCAGAGAGAAGAGCCTAGAGGCCTCTCTCTGTGTCTTTGCAGAAAATGATGATCAACAGTGGTGGTTTCCAAGCAATGTTATCTGTAAGTAGTTTTTAAACATGGTTTTAAAAGTTGTAGTCCAAATTAAACATTTAAATATTCCTTGTCATGAGCTTTTTGTTCCCTTTATGAGTACCCTAATTGGACACCCAAAATAAACAGGATAGGGATTTAAGATTAGCTGTAATTTTAAAACCTGTTCTCAGTATGACACAGAAGCCTTGCTTGACACAGACACCGACAAGGAACTCTGTGACACTGAAAGTCAAAATGCAGTTTTCCACAGTGAGCTTGAGGACGTTTATGTGCGCAGACTACATTGGTAAGGGGTGCTGCTGCTGACAGAGAGGGCCCAGAGCACGGCTGCTCTGCTGAGACTGTGCGGCAGAGTCACCCTGCTTTTCAGACATGTGCTACAGTCGCCGTGCTTAGGAAAGCATTCTGTTTAGGAAGCCAGTCCTTGTATCCACTGTATTTCTCTGTAGCTTCAGAGGCATAAAGCTGCAGTTATTTTTTAAATATAGCTTTACTGTGAGATTTTAAATTATTTTTCAATCCTAAGTGTGTGTGGCAGTGGTTGTGTGTGGGTGTGTGTACATATATGAGTGCACGGACCACAGGAATCAGATTTCCCTGGAGCTGGAGTTACAGGTGGTTGTGAGCTCCTAATATGTGGTGCTGGGAACATCTCAGTTCTCTCAAGTGCACTTAATCTCTGAGCCATCTTTCCAGCCCCTACTGGGACATCCTTACACGAGGCACAGGCATTGAAGTCTTGCAGTATCAACCCATCACCTTTCAGTATTCCCCACAATAACAAACAATTAACTCTTGAACAACAACAACAAAATGGATGTATACATGATGATTCAGGACTAACCCCAGTAGGGGGATTGAGGATTCAAGGTCACCCACTGCTGTAGAGCAACTTCTAAGCCGCCAGGGCTACCTGAGACCCTGACTCAAGTAAAAATTACCATTCTCCTGTTTTAGTCTCTTTGGGTCATGATGAAATCTACACTGCTGCCAGACAAAAGCCCCAAGGATCTGGTCTCACTTTGCTGTCCCAGATTTTTCCTCTTCCACTCACCTCACCCTATTTTCTGCCACACTAAGTACATTGTCTCCCTGACACTGCCAGGCTCTTCTGCAGCCTGCCTTTGCTCAACGTTTGTCTTTATCCGACCTGACTGCAGGCCTGCTCAATAAACAGCTAAGTTCTACATTAGTAAAGCATGCTCCTAGAACCTCTTAGGGCAGACATTGTGAGCTCCAGGGTCCTCTCCAGCAGCCTACTGTATCTGCTTGTTTGCTCCAGGGAGCAGAGGCCCCCTCTCCAAAACTGCTGCCACATTGACCCTACTCATTCAGGGTGTGTGTGATCATAAGAACTATTGGTTCTTCTAGGTAGCCTCAGTAACTTGCCCATTTCCTGACACAGCAGGAGCACCAAAATATGTTTCAAGAAATTTATAGCCTAAAGGAAAGGAAGACCTGTATGTAAACAGTTAAATGGAAAACTCAGTGGAGTGGAAGTTAACAGATTCTAAGTAACAGAGGCACAGCCATCTGAAATGTTGACATTTTCGGCTTGCAAATGCTGATTTCCCCGAGCTCTGCCACTTAGCTAACTGCAGGACAGGTTGATGCACTGCTTTCAGTTCTTAAGTCTGCATTAAAAACTCCGTGAAATTTGCCTTGCAAGTTTACAGCTACGGCCAACAGCTATGATTTTACAAGGCATTAAGTACAAGAAAACATACATTGGCACTATATCCTCCAAGTAGTGTGTGTATTTGCCAAGTGGCCATAGTGAAATAACAGCTTCTTTATTGTCCTGCGATCTCTAGTGTCCCCTTAGATTGTCGAAGAATTTTGAGAAATAATGTCTTCTAAATGAATCTGCAAATTCCTCCATCACCTCCAGCCAAAAAACAACCAAAAATGCCTGAAAGTGGTATTTTACAAGCAGAGTACAAAGATCCCTCATGTGAGAGGTTTTAAGCATCAGTTCAAAACTCTGCCAAAACTAGTTGTGTTAAAGACAAAAGACCCTTATGCAGTGTAGAAGGACACTTTAATTGGTTTTTCTGCCTGCTTATTTTAGATCTGGCTTATACTGTATTATTACAAATTACTTATTTGTAATGTAATTAGGCATATTTTCAAGACATTACTGTCTACCAGAAACAATCTGATAACTAATCTTTATAAATGTTGGAGCTAAGCCTACAGTGGCAAACCACACTAGACCAATAAAGTCTAGACTTACTCTGGATAGGTGTCTATAAAATGGTATGACCAACTTTTCCTGTTTGCCAGGAGATTCTTCATAGCTCTCTACACATATCCTGCTCTGGAATTCCGCCTTCTGTTTTTCAGGGAAGGTCGAGGAAAGGGCACCCTGTCATGTCATTCCATGTGAGGCCTTGAGAACTGGTACCTCCCCGGAGTTGTTGCTCTTGTCCATATTTAATATTTAGATAACCGTTAACTAAAGGTCACCCAACAGGTGATAAACAGTAGCAGGGCAGGTGCACTGGACTGACTACGGCACACCTTAAGGTCTTTTTTCCTACAAAGTAAGAAATGACCAAAGCCACTGAGGCAGTAAACTCATTTGGATGGAAAAGATGTGAACCTAGGAGATGACACAGCAATGCAGGTGCACCATTTCCAAACCACCATTCAAATGGTCTTAGACGGCTTATCACTAACCACAATGCACAACTCACTTGTTTGAACTAACCTGAACCTGACTGAAATTCACTGTGTGACAGTCATTGGTCATCTCTGACATCTGTGAAGACCATTCAAGAAAACAACTTACATTATGTGGCAGGGCTCGTTTCTGTCTTTTAAACAGCACCCGTTCTCCCATTTCTTTTTGGTAGGAAATGAAGTTTTTATGTATTTTGATCCAGCATGTGTACTTTTAACTCCACACCAAGGCGCATCTGGAGTTGGGGTAAGGGGAAAGAAGGCATTAAGGGATTTACTTTTCTAAATCTTTTTCATGAACACTGGTATATAACCCAAAATTACGAGTCACTATCTAACTTCCAAAATGGCAAAATTAATGCATCAGAAAACAGTTCCAAGAAAAGTGCAATATAAAGTTCTAAGCTGCACCTTGGAAAAAAGACTGATTTTTATTTTATTTCCTTACTAATGTGGCTAGTGTATGACATGCTTTGGGGGAAGAAAAAGAACAAGAAATATCACTGAAATGTGTCAGCATTGTAAGACTGCTCTGTGTTGCTTCTACTGCATGTGAAAGCGTGGCTGTGAACCCTGCTTGTCCCCCAGGATCAGGAATAACACTCTGCCACTGAGCTAGTGCCCCGTTATTTCTTTTCAAATGGCTTGCACATCATACAGGCATTGTACTTCCAGTAAAATTGTTTTCATGACTGTCTAAAGAAATAAACTTATTTCCTAGAGTGGCCCAGTCTATAGACTTTAATAAACCAACAACCCCTGAGTTGCAGTGTTAGGTCGGAGTCCAGCTTTTGAACTTGTTTTAGAAGATAACATCCCAGTTTGTTTGTAAGGGCTATGGAAGTAAGCCACTATAAAAGAGGTAAGAATATCTCGAACCCTAATATAAACTGCTTCGAGGAGCCATTTCATAAATATTCATAAATACAGACTCTAGTTATCACAGATTCTGTCATCTTTTTTTAAGTTTTGAGGTTTAGCCAAATGGAAAATAAAAATCTATATAACTACTTTTCCATTAGTAATTACCTCCAAAATCCTAAAAACCAACCAAACAACCATACATTGAGATTAAAACTAGAAGTCAAGTGTCCCCTACCTTTTGGGGGGAGGGGACATTAGGGTTTAATATAAAACTTGAATTTCTGGAAACATCAGCTTACCTGTTTCAATCATTAGTTTTTCACTAGGTATTGACTTCAGAACTTCCAAGTTAGCTTCCGTTTTCAGTGAGCTTGAAACAATATTTAAATATTAAATGATATTTAGTGAATAATTTTTTACTAAGATACTTTTAAGGGTTATAAAACCACAAAGAATTTTGTTGTCAGTATACTTTAGGAAGTACACATTCTTACCCTACACAGAGTCCAGATTATAGTCAACTTCAAATCTACCTGGACTTTTGCCCCTTTTGTAACATTTAAACAGTATGATTTTTATTTCTATCTGTATACATATGCATGCACGCTGTGTGAATGTCATGTGTATGGATAACTCCAGAGGCCAGCAGATTCCTTGCAAGTCACACAACATGGGTGCTAGAAACCAAACTCGGGTCCTTTGGAAAGCAGCAGGTGCGCTAACCACTGAGCCAGCTGTCCGGGCCCCCAGTTCCTTCAATGCAGGGTGTGATGCAGTACTGGAGCTAGAATGGGGCACAGTGAGTATTCCTGCCTCAGTACTCACATTAAACGAGTCACGTCGTTTCTCATACTTACAGTTGAATGGTTTTTTTGGTTTTTATTTTTGGGGGGTTCTAGATAAAGTTTCTCTAGGTAACAGTGCTGGCTGTCCTGGAACTCAGAGATCCACCTGCCTCTGCCCACCATGTGCTGGGATTAAAGGTGTGTGCCTTTAATCAACTAGGCTCCAGTTGAACTTTTGATAAACTTTATATATTAGCCTATGTAAAATTTAAATTAAAAAAGTATTTGTATAACTTAGAATAATCCTGAGGCTGTTACTTTTACCATTTAAACTTGTTTCAGCCACTGGAGCAGACGTCCTGCTTCCAAGTCCTCCCTGTCCTATAAGACTTAGGTATTTGCACCCTCACTGCGTGTGGCCAAACTCCAATCTTGAACGTGGCCTTGGCCTCAAGACTTGCTCTGGGATAATGCTAGCATGGCCATAGCAATGCACCTTCTGTGGTTAGAACAGGATGGTGCAGTGTCTCGGCAGCGTCGCTGATAGTGACCTTTTCGGCCAGGTGCCCAGAAAGAAAACCTGGCAGGCACACCCATCACCCGAGCCTGAGTGGAGTGCGGATGCTTTACCTGCCAGTGAGTCCTGTGTGCTTCGTGCTTTCATTCCTACTTGATCCTGGCAACCGGTGGTCATTTTCCTGTTCCTTGATAATCACCTCACCCAACAACACTTTTTGGTTAGACTAGTAGACACCTGTTACCCAACTCATTGTCATAAAGCAAAACACAAAAGGAGAAACAATAACCTCTAAGTGTTAACTGACCTGAATGTTACAGACTAGAGAAAAAGATGGGCAAACAGATTCACCTGAGCAATGCCCCAGAACACGGTACCTAGAATGCTGAGCTAGGACAGGGAATGGGCAGAGAAATGATGAGGTACACGGATTACCTGTGACTCGGGGATGCGGGAAGAAAACACAAGTTAGAAGGGCTTGGGGACAGCCAGCAGGTACATGGGACTGAAGATGCAGATTGAACTGGGAGTCCCCTCTTCCATCTCACTCTGCACCAGAACATTGCCCTGTACATTTATAAATCCCTACCCTACTTTTCTACAAAGATCACAGGCCATCCTTCTAGAGAAAATCAACCCCAAAAAGGTCTCCACTAAAGGACACGTGGGAATCCACTCCAGGAAAGTCCAGCTGTCACCTGAGCCTGCCGGTTGACTGTCGCACCTAGAGCTTCCAAAAAGTTGTGACAAGATTTCATGTAGCCCAGGCTGGCTTCAGGGGCAGGCATGTGCCACCATGCCTAGCATTTTTTTCTTCCCTAAACATCAAAGGACTGTCTGGCATTTGAAGAGAGCCCCTATCATAAAAGAGACCAACCGCATTAGGGAAACAGGACTGAGATAAAAGCATCCGAACAGTGAGAAAGTGACTCCCAGCTAGAATATCTCCAGACAGAAGGCACTCCGTCTGTCAAGACTGTGGTATATGAGGGACTTTAGAGCTAGGAATGAAAGCTGAAATATAGTCCATTTTTAAAAGTTGAAAGTAAAGCAAATTTTAGAAGGTGTTAAAGTAGAAATGGAAATTATGGAAAAGATAATACCAGTTCCCAATTCTGAAAAGTCCCCACAAAAAAGAAAGGATATTCCCAGAAGTGATTAAAAAAAAAAAAGAAGAAGAAGAAGAGGCTCCATCTGCAGGGGACCAGTGCGAGAGCAGCAGGATGAGCGACAAAAACAACAAAGTCCCCAAACACCAAGACACACACATGACACCCACACGAACTAACCCTCCTCAAGGAAAGCAGAGGTCACGGAAAGGACTGGGGCACTGAGGAGCAGCCAGCTGTCACAAGCCAGCACTGGGGCTACTCCTGGAGAGTCACAAGTGGGTCCCTGTTCTTTCATTACTGTCCAAGCACACTTTTAAGAATAAAAGAAAACAAGTTCTCATGAAAATGTTCTCAGGAATCAAGGAATGTGTTCACCAAACCAAACAGATGACACCATGGTAGTTCACGTCTGTAATCTCGGGACTCCAAGGCGGAGGCAGGAGTGCTCAGGTCATCCTCAGCCACACAGTTCACATGAGACATCATCTCAAAGCAAAGCAAAACCCACACCAGAATACATGAGATCCTGAGAAGTAAAAATATGGGGTTCTATCACAGAAGAGACAGGAGTCCAAATAAATAGCCAGGCCTGGAACTAACAAACTATCTGAATAGGATCCCTCATGGAGAAAACCAAGTAAGACGTTTGTATGGAGCTATAGAAAGTGCCAGAAAGCCTCAACTCGTCTTGTTCTGTGAAATAGTGACTCACTGTGTAGCCCTGGCCAGCCTCATGATCCTCCTGATTCAGCTTCCTGGGAACTAAGATTACAAGCCTGTGCCATTCATTATGCCTGGCTGGGCTCTTAAGTTTTGAAACCAAGGAAATAAAAATGTGAGGTCAGTTACTCCAAGAAAGCACAAAGTGGCACATGAAGAGAAAAGTGGGCACAGTCCACCACAGGGCAGCAGGGACTATACAAACAATGACATCACAGAAACCCAGAATCCTGAAACAACACTGGAAGGAAGATAGGGAACAACGGAAGTAGGGTCAGAGCTGGTAACAGGTAATATTACAAGGCTGTACAGTGGCAGACAGCTAAGTGCTTATAAACTGACTGGGGTGAAGAAGGCATGCTGAGCCTGGGGGAGGAAGCAACAGCTGTTTCTACATCTTTTAGTATGCTTGACTTCTTAATCACCACGTTTGTTTGACTACCAATTTATAAATGTACCATTTCTTGGGAAAGAGTCGCCCTGAGCTCTACAGGAATAAGCACCGCCACCATTCCGCTTCCCTAAGACTTTATACCTAATGTCACCAGTGAGCACTGTAAGGGCAAGCAGGTTGTACTCTATTCTGTAACTTCTCTTCACCGACTCCTAAGAAGACAACCCGTAGAAAACGCTGGCATAGCTGACAGAAAACAAGGCCAGGCCCTTGCTGTGCCGGCTGACTTGCGAGGCTGTTTGAAGTTTAGTATGGAGTTACAGAGGAAAGGTCACTGGGTTTGAGCCAGAGGACAGGTTCTCACACTTGGGGTAGTTTTACACCTGTTTCCTAACTCCTGTGGCCTACAGAAATATAGAGATGACTGTCATAAAATACTCTTCCCATGGCCAACATGTGAGCCTTACATAAAATGCTGTGAATGTTTATCTATGAAAAGCGTAAAAAAAACCTGAGAACAGACTGGATTGCTAAAGAAAGTCAGCTGCTAACCTCAACACAATTGTTTGCAGTATCAGAATGCAGCCTAACAGCAGGTAACTTTTGAGCACTGGCCCGTAATAACAATCTACTACTTAATTTCTTACGTAAGTGGTTAGTAAACTTCTTGAACAAGGATCAACGCAGAGCATACACACTTTAATAAATCTGCTAATATAAAAATCAGGGAAAACAAAACACAGCCCAAGAACGTACCAACCGTTAAATCCTATGTAAAGGTCCAAGTCAATCAAAGCAGCCGCTGCTTCCTTCGTCCCATCAAATGAATGCACCTAGGATATATACGTACATAAGTATAGTAATCTGAAAATGCACAATAGCATTGATGTACTCTCTAAACAAAACCAGAAATAACTGTAAGGGGTTGATTCCCAGGGCTTGTTAATGTGGTAGCACATGTAATCAATGTTTTTCTTTCAAACCAGACTTGGTAATCACAACCTATCATCATTTCTGGTGACACAAAGCAAGGAGTTAGCTGAGGATTTCTCCTCAGCTGCCCGAGAGTCGCTACAATCACCCTCTCTGCCCACTCTCTGCAAAGGGCACAGGAAAGGGAGCCACGTTCTTACACAGGAGGAGGAAGGGTCTGAAACGCTCATTTAAAATATAAAATGCTGAAAATCTCGTTGCATTTCTCTGCCAGAGGATACTTTTCTTTTAGAGGAGAATGATTAATCATTAAGAGGTAAGCTTTCAGAAGCTCTAGAAAGTGGTGAGAATGTTGCTTTTAAAATGTCACTTGTGGGCCTCAGCAGTTAAGAGTGCTTGCTGCTTTTGCAGAGGATCTGGGTTCAATTCCCAGCACTCACACTGAGTAACTCCAGCTGCAGGGGATCTGATACCCTCTTCTGGTCTCAGTGAGTACCTTTGTGTGTGTGTGTGTGTGTGTGTGTGTGTGTGTGTGTGTGTGTGTGTGTGTGTCTGTGTGTCTGTGCACGAAACACAAATAAAAGTAAATTAAAATAAAAATGAGAATTGTTACATTATCCACACCAGCCACACAGGCAAAAAGGGCTGAGATCTTTTTTTTTTTTTTTGCTTTAGGTGTCCGTATCTAATAAAAAGCAATAACCAACAGTAACACTGCTTTACAAATGAAGTCAGGTCACCACCGTCCAAGGAGAGCATGTTCTCAGCTGTTATACAGCTGCCTGTAAGATTTGATTTTCCCCTCAGCATTTCCAGTGAACTGAAAAAAAAAAATCTTCCAGTAATATAAAGATAATTTAAAATGTTATTTCTTATAAGCCAGTTCAGAGCACTTGTTGGGCAATTTCTTTTATTAAGGTCAGATATTTCAGTTGGCTCTGCTGTTCCTGGTATTAACTTTTTGAAGTCATAGACTCATCTGATTAAAGTTTTACTTAGAAATAAAGAAATGAGTGAGGGGGGAGTCTAGAAATGACAATAAATACCATCAGTAATGCCCAGGTCATTAATTAAAACCTTTCTCAATTCCTAAGTATAGCTCCTAGAGGGAAAATCACAGAGCACAGACTTAGTAAACTACAGAGGAGATGTGCAAAGTACCATCAACATGAGAGCAACACGGAAATGACGTGAAACGCCAAGCAAGGGAAAGCCTTGAGAAACAGGTGAGGGTCAGAGAGATGGCCCCTTGGGTGAAGGTGCTAACTGACCAGAGTTCAATTCCTGAGACACACATGGTGGAAGGGGAGAACCAACTTCAGCAAGCTGTCCTCTGACCTACACACAGCATGACACAGATACACACACACACACACACTAAGTGTAATAAAATTACAAGTGTGTTCCAAGCAAAGTCGCAAAATTGCTCAGGGTTAGGTCCTATCTCCTTGATCGGCACACTGGAACTGTGATTTAAATACCTAAGTAACAACCTTTACCCCAAGAGATGGTCACTGAATCTCCTGAAATTGCATTTGAAATTTTAAGTATGTGAGCATTTTTTTTTTGAGACAAGGTTTCTCTGTGTAACAGCTCTAACTGTCCTGGAACTAGCTCTGTAGACCAGTCTGGCCTCAAACTCACAGAGATCTGCCTGCGCCTGCCTCCCAAGTGCTGGGATTAAAGGCATGCGTCACCACCACCCAGCTTGTAATTTTTTTAAGGCAGATTATTTACTGAAGCCTATGATCCAAAATGACTAGATCACTATCAGAGATGCAACAGCCAAGGGATAGTAGAGAATATTTATGGGAAATGTCTCAAGAGTAATGTCTAAAATCTCCACATGAGGAACATTTAAGAACAGAATATACATCATAGTGGACGAGCTCAAATCAGAGTGAGAAGAATGGCTACCAGCCAGCAAATGAGGAAAGCAAACCTGAACGAAAGGATGGACTATTCTAAGACACTCTAGCAGTGGTTTGTCTCACATTTAAACAGAAGAGCACTACGGGATGGGTGGTGGGAAAGTACACACTGATGGCTGTGTTCCTTCACATTGTTTCCTGTGAGGAGAATTCGGCACTCGTTCTTGTACTCTGACAGAAGACTAAAATTGTTAACTGTTTATACACCATCTGGCCCGTAAACCCAAAAGTAAACTTTCATGTCTTTCAACTAAGAGACTCCATAACTTTACTTTTGATATCTGAATGAGCTGAAGCCAACCACACTTAAGACAGCCATTGATACTTACCACTCCACCCACACACCGGTCTCTATTTCTTCTCATTATGTCTGTGAATTAAAAAGCAACAACTTTCAGCTACTTCAGCCTAACTGCCACACAGTTCTTAAACTAGTGATTTTTCACTTTTAACTCACCCAAAAAGTCGGCATGTGAGTTTCGACAATGAAGAAACATTGGTAACTGTGTCTGTTCTGACAGTTCAAATTGTTTTTCGAAATATCTGCACAATGCATGAAAATTTCCACATTAAAAATTTTATTTTAGTGTGAGACATATATCAAATAAGTTTTAACTAAAGGAATTTTATTATCTAGAAATGGGAATATGGAAGTGAAAACAGTGATCCAGATATTAAAAACCATCAGGCTCTTTCCTGCCACTTAGCTTCTGGAACGGGATGCTTCATTTACTAGGATTACAAATCCATTTCCACTATGTCCATCGGGTCTCCATTTAGATTGGTGACCTAGTCTTTATTAACTAATCCTGCTGGGCTAGAATAAGCAAAAGTGATTTTGTTTCAGTTAAAGTGAGGACATTTTGCAGGCTAGGAAACATAAAAACCTGGAAGAAAAGATTAAGATTACTAGTAGTGGGCTGGGGACAGAGCCAGGAGTCCTTGTCTGGCATGTACAAAGCCTGGGTTCAATCCCCAGCACCACTTGAAAGCAAGCGCGGTAGATCAGGACTGCATTTTCAGCACTTGCGAGGTTGAGACATGATCAGAAGTTTAAGTTGATTTTCAACTACCTAATTAGTTTGAGGCCAATCTGGGCCACATGAAACCTGTTTCAAAAAACCCCAGGAATTACTACCAGCCACATCTTCCACAGCCACTAAAGTAGCACACGTGCCAACATTCAGTGTGTGCTGTCACTGTGTAAATGTAAATGCAGCTATACACCACAGGCAACGATCTCCCCAAGGTGCTCACCACACACAACCCCATGGCTCAGCCACATGACCAAGTCACTGTTTTATAGAACTAAACAGTTTAGAAAGTAGCTTTCTGTCACAGACGAGGCAAATGTATAGTTCATTAAAATAACAAAAGCCTATAATGTGCCCAGAGAATTTTACATAATTCAAGAGGAAAAAAGATCCATGAGTTTAAGCCAAATAGGTACCATGAAGGGTATGTGATATGTGTGTGGAGGGCTCTGGAGAAATGGCTTAGTGGTTAAGAGCACTGGCTGCTTTTCCCAGGGCACAGGTTCACTTCCTCACAACCATGTGTAACTGCAGTCCCAGGGGCTCTGATGCCCTCTTTTAGTCTTTGCTGGTACTGCGCACACATATGCAAGCAGAACACTCATATACATACAAATAAATGTCTAAAAAGTCAAGTGCTGGCTGGCAGTGGTGGCACACACCTTTAATCCCAGCACTTGAGAGGCAGAGACAGGCATCTCTGTGAGCTCGTGGCCAGCCTGATTACAGAACAAGTTTGAGGACGGGTTCCAAAGCTACAGAGAAACCCTGTCCAAAAAAAAAAAAAAAAACAAAGTCAAGCGGGGGGGGGGGGGGGGGGGGGGGGGGGGCTGGTGAGATGACTCAGCAGGTAAAGTATTTGCTGTGTGACGAGGATGAAAGCTGCCACCGGAGTTCAGTCCCCAGCACACACTGAAGTAGGACGCAGAGAACCAAGTCCACACCACAGTTGGCCTCTGGCCTCCACTTGCATGACATGGCAGGCCTGCTCCCTCACAAAAATAAAATAAGAATCTTGAAGAGAAAATTTCCACATGGCTAAACAAAACAATAACACACTAGCAGTACACACTGAGGATAGCAGGTATGTAACATCAAATAACCGCCATTTAAAGTGGAAAAACAAAACCAACCAGCTTCCTCTGTTTATCTGACTAATAACTCCTTCCGGCTCATAAACGACAATCATTCGTGGTTCGCAGCTGCCCATCCTGTCACAGCTCTGACTTACTCGGGTTGAGTACTACTTCAGATAGCTTGGGTCAGCGCTGAGGACAGAGCTTGCCAGGGGCAGCTGCAGAGCAGCAGCTGCTCCTGGTTAGGACTGGGTGGAAAAGCCCAGCGTGTGACACTGGCGGTAATCCTCTCCCAGCTGGCTGACAGCCTGGATGGGGCACCTGAGTGTCCTCATGGTAATATTTTCAAATCTTGTCTGATGCCTGCTTTAAAAAAAAAAAAAAAAAAAAGACCTACATAATATTAACACTGTAAAGCCCCAAGAAAAGTGTCCAGGGCAAGTGGAACAGGGTATCTAAGTTAGAAACACTGCTATGATTCAAAAGATAAACTTTCATAACCAAAGCAGGCCTTTTCCTTGTTCCCATTCCTTGCTTCACCTTCTTGTTCTCTAAAAGAGCGCTTCTCAGGGCTGGAGAGGTGGATGGTTCCCTGGTTAAGAGCACTGGCTGCTGTCACAGAGAGCCATGTTCAGTTCCCAGCGCCCACAGGACGGCTGATTCACAGTGCCTGTAACTGCAGGTACAGGGGATCTGACACCCTCTCCCGACTTCCACGTGCATATACACGGACACAGTGATGTATTTTTTCTGACACCCTCTTCTGACTTCCACATGCACATACACGGACACAGTGATGTGATGTATGTTTTGAAAGCGTTCCTCAAAAACCCTCCACGAAAGCCACAGCTGGCATTTTTCTTTAGAAGCCGTAATTATTGAGTAGTCAATCTCAGTGCGTCCAGGCATGCACTGTGGACTTTACCCATCATATACTGAAAAAAGGGGGACAGAGGCATCCTCATGCTAACAATGAGAACACTGAAGCGTATAAAGGAATAGACAGCCAGGGAACAGCAAGACTGTGTCCCACCTCAGGCCTGCTCTCCGAAGGTACATTACTTATATTTCTCACACACAATAACTATTATGCTTTTATAAAAGGAAAAGTATTTTTTTTTATAAAACCAACAAATCATTTACTAGATTAATATTTCACATGCTATAAAAAAGCCAGGTGTGGTGGTGCATGCCTTTAATCCTAGCATTCAGGAGGCAGAAGCAGGAGGATTTCGCTAAGTCTACATAGTGAGTTCCAGGTCAACTAGGACTATAGGGAGACCCTGTCTCAAATAAATAAATAAATAAATAAATAAGGAAGGAAGGAAGGAAGGAAGGAAGGAAGGAAGGAAGGAAGGAAGGAAGGAAGGAAGGAAGGAAGAAAAAAACAAAAGAAAGCATAGCTCAAGGGCCTGGGGAGGTGGCTTGGTAAATAAAGTGTTTGCCGGGCATTCATGTGATCCTGAATTTGATATCCATGTAAAAGAAAAGTTCCAGGTCCCAGTTATGAACCCTGCCTCAAAACAGCTGGGCAACTCCTGACATCTGACCTCCATATGCACCCACATGCATGTGTATCTGTGCAACGTATGCATACACAAAGTCTAGGTCAAGATCTAAATTCTTCCAAAAACAATAAGTTCAACAGTAAAGATCAAATTACAGCCCTTTAATCCATACAGGAAACAGAGAGCACCACCTTCCTTAACTAGACACCAAGGGAACTACACGAACAGACCTGCTGTATGCTTTCAACACACTGGAAGACACCAGTCTGCTGTGTATTTTCAATATACTTAGATAGGTATACTGAAATTGATGGGCACAGGAGAGATTAGCCTATACGGGGGGGGGGGGGCAAGGGGGGGNAAGGTGGGATGGAGTGGGGGGTCCCTGGGTATCTGTCTTCTTGACAACAATGCAAATGAAATTATTACTTCTATAGACATTCTAGAATCTCAAGTTAAAAACTGCCAAGCAATCTTACCAATATCTTCGCTTTAGTTTGTTCTTAGCTTATCCTTTTTTGAAGAGACCAATATCATGCTGTCGCCTTAGCAAAGACATTTCAGATTCCCCTGCTCATCCATCTCCTAGCCATACACTTTCTGTTTTTAGTGGTGGTGGTAGGAACTGAACGCAAGTCCTCGAGCGTATACACTTTCCTGACAGCACGTACTAGCCTACAACGATTATTTATAGACTCTCTTGTCTATAAAAGCCGAAGAGCCAAGCTTTACTCTTATCACACTGAAGAGACACTCAGCAATCATTTACAGAACAGACTGAGCTCCACTCTATTACAGACGCTTGGATGTGTGCTACAGCTTAATCATACCCTGCTACACATACTACACTGATGATGGAAGCTATCTTAAGAGAAGAAAATAGAACCTGTGTACACTATCAATACTTTCATGGAGCCAAAATCTGGTCTGCAGTATTTAGGTGGCACTTTAAACTCAGTGTAGAAGAAAGACCATAAGGGCAAGGTATCCTGCGGGACTCTGCAGCAGAGCTTCTCATGATCCGGTCTCTGGCTCAGGAAGCTCATCCTGGCCCAGACAGACACTAGAATGGAGGAATGGTCTGAGAAGTTTCTGTCCCAGTGTGAATCGGTGAACTTTTCGGGTTAGGTGAACTGATTACATGGTGTTCAAGAGACAGATCTCAATGTGTCTCTAACACTCCTGGCAGTATAATGAAAAGTCTCTCAGGTCATCACATCAGGTGCCATGGATGCCCCCCCCAATCAAATTACAAAATTTATTAAGAGGTAATTTGATCCAAATTCTTCTTCATATCTAAGAAACTACAGCGGACAAATGGTAGATGGTTTGTGCATAAATATATCTCTTGCCACCACTACCAAAACATCTATGATATAGAACATACCCCTTTGTTCTATCATTCAGATCAGATCCAATGATTAATCAGCTGGGGAGTATTAGTTTCATGCCGAGATGTGTGGTCTTTGTTTCACTTTAACTCTTGATAGACGCCAGGGGAAGCAACCACACCTTGATATCTAACACCACATGTGCCAAATAAAAATCATTCTTAGGGTTTACAACTGTTTCTCAAATCAACAAATTTCCTTACTTGAGCTGAGTATCTTTGGGACAAAACTGCAGGCGATCAAAATCTTTAAAAGAAAGAATAATCATTATTGAGGATTTGAACATAACAAGCAGTTATTTTCAAAAGAATGCTGAGTGTGGAGGTTTGCACTTACCGAGTCCACATTCCCCTATTGCTACTACTTTGTCCTTGTTGTTCCTAGCAAGGTCCAGCAATCCTGCCAAGTAACCATCAGGGCTATTCTTTTCAAATTCATCACATCTTGTGGGATGACACCCAACTGTACTGAAAAACATGTCTAACAGAAAACCACATCTTAGGGTTATTTTCAGAATATTGTTCATATTAATAGCTAACATATTAAAATGAATGAAAAGGGCAATTTCACCTTATCTTTGATAGCTATAAACAATTCAAACTTCCAGAAATATGTACATTAAACAAACAAGAATTTCTAAATATGTTAAGAAGTGGGATGTGCATATAAAAACTACCTTCATGTTTATTAATAAAATAGTCAATGAATTCTTTCCAAAGCTGATCATATATCAAGCATCTGAGAATGGAAAGTGAAATGATTCATTAAAATATCATCATCTAATTTTATCTTTTTTATTTAAATATGGAGCGCTTCACAAATCTGCTTGTCATCTTGTACAGAAGCCATGCTGATCTTCTTTGGTTCCAGTTTCAGCAAATGTGCTGCACGTCCTGCCGAAGCGGCACCCAGGTCTGTCCTTTATGTTCACTGTTTACGTGCCATCACAATTCATGTATTTAATAAACAACCACCATGCGCCTCCCTTAGAAAGGTTAGCAGTCGAGACGGAGGTGTTTAAAAGTGCCTGCTGCTCTGGGAGAGAACTAGAGCTTGATCCCTGTGCCAGGAAGCTCACAGCTGCTGTCACTCCAGCTCCACGGGCACCTGCAGGACTGACTTAGAGAGTGGGAAAGGGGGATTTCTTTTACAATAAAAAACACAGCTCACTACCTGGGGGCCAAACTTTTAGTAGCTTCAATAGTAAGAAACACAAGCCAGAAGCCTGTGTATCAGGGCTGGAGGAATGGCTCAACGGCAGAGTGCTTGGATATCACATGCACCATGCACAGTGCCCTGGGCTGGGCCTCTACACCGAGAGACCCAGTTCTGTTTGTTTTAGGAATTCAACAGGAACTCACAGCCGAACTCAAGGAAGGGTACAGAGCTTTCCTCGGGCTCTCCCACAGGTAATAGGACCAGCAGACGTCTCTTTAGTGGGAGGAAGGATAGTAATAAAGATGGGAGAAGAATTTCAAAATTAAACTGTTAGAGAATGCAAAGCATGGAAGAAAATCTTCCCCCATCTTCAAAAAGTCCTCGGAAGACGATTGTTTTCATGTTTTTAAGATTGAGAGACAATGCAGGCGAAAGAAAAGCATGCATTTTAAAGATTTCTATAAAATTTCATACATAAAAGAAATACAGCTGTACTTTAAAAAAAAACTGTGTGGAATGCCTAATCTCTAGATTTCTAGCAAAGTATGCATATAAAACAGTTATATGAATGTCAAATAAGCTGCTAAGATATGAAATAAGCATGGAATGTGTGAGCACCCGGAGAGCAGCGCATTTTCATTTTAGTAGTGTGTGTGTTGAGGAGTGCCCGTGGAGCCAGAAGAGGATGCCTCATCCCCTGTGCTGCGTCTTGTGGGCAGCTGCCCCTCACTGGGAACTGAACTTGAATCCTCTGCAAGAGCAACAAATGCTCTTAAACGCCAAGTCATCTCTCTAGCCCCAAGAGTAGTACATTATATTATAACTTAAACCCCTGGGCCTTACACAAAGTCTGACTCACAAAATAAATGTTCAGTAACTATAATGCTCTACAATTTTAGTTAAAAGATTTTAAATAAAAACAATTCATATCAAACATTAAAATACGCACATAAAATTTTATATCAGAATTACTTGAAGATAAATTATGTATGTAGGTAACTTTACCCTTATTTACTGAAATCCTAATCTCTGTTAAGTACTCCAAGGTTTTTCCAGACATCTGATATACCACAGAGTACTCTAAACCCTGTCGTCATAGTCATGATCCACAGAAATCATCTATTTTCCTGTCATGTCTATAGTCAGCATTCTCCGTATTTGTACCTTCAGCAGATCTCAGAAAGACTTCTTCACAATCAATTAATTCACAGTTTGTTTAGGTAAAAGTAAGAAGAGGGTACCATTTGTGTGTGCCAACTGCAGAGCATCTTTACTGTCTTGTAGACTTCCACCTGTGATCATAAACTGAAATGGCAAGAAGTAAAGAAGCTGACTTCTCCAGGGCCATCAACAACTGTTCGCCAAACACCCCCCACCAGCTCACTGAGGGCGTTTCGCTTACCCCCCCCTCCTCCCTCCTCTACCCCTCCCCTTCCTTTACCATTCAGGGGGAAGATCATCTCGACACACAGTGCTTCCTGACTCCTATCCACACACCCTCCCCGCACACAGGATTCCTGTGTTAAACAGTAACGTGTATTTACATTCTCCTGAAGACACGATTTATATGTTACAGAAGACAGAATAGCTGGAGAACTGCAAATTCAAAATTCTGTTCACTGAAATCAGTAACTGAACAGTGTTGGTTAATTTAACAAGTCTCCAGCACGGGCTGGGAACTCCCAGGAGGTCAAAACTGCTTCTTTAAGAATATAATACATTTCTCATCTTCTTCAGTCTCATTCCATCTCAAACGTACAGGAAGGTCACCCAGATGGCACCTGACAGAGTATCACAGCCAACTGACCCCAGAAATGACATGCAAAGCAGCGGTCTTCTAATTTAGCCACAAAGACACAATGTAACACAATCCCCTGCTGCTAAGGTTTGTTTAGAAAATAGGTATTTGTCATTAAAATATACTGTATATTATAATTTATCATATTCTAAGATGAGTTGATACTTAAAATATTTTTGCTTTAATTCCTAATATAACATATAAAGTACATACAACCCACCTAAAAGCTTTTTAGAGGCTCCGGAATAATACTAAAGAAAGTAGAGGAGTTCTAAGACCAAAAACTGATAGATTAATGCAGTAACAATTCTGTGTAAAAGGAATTCATGGCTCTTGAGAAATCAGCATACTTCAGACAGCCATTACAGTCACTTGATAGTTAGGCTGCCCATCTCTGCTAATCTGTCAGACAAAATTAAAGAACCCTGTGTCAAAGGTGGCTACCAAGGCAGTGCTGTTTAAGGTACAGTTTCCTAAAGTTTGAATTAATGACACTGATTACTTAGTTATTTATAACATATTGCAAAGTCTCTCTAAGCTAAAGAATTCATTGTAGGTGCGCATCAAAGAGAATGCACACAAAACAAAGGTGGAATTGCATATGAAAAATAGATGGTGTCATGCAGCAACTTAAATCTCCAGTATGACCAGCCACTGAGCATCTATACAGGGGATATACAGTCCTAATTAAAATCTCAAATGCCCATAGAACATAGGATTTAAGAAATTTTTAAGATATCAGGAAAACTATTCTTCACTAAGCTTACCTAATTCTTTAAAACTAAACCAGATGCCTGCTGTGGGATAATGCTATTGTACACTGTAAAGATTTGTCATTTATATTTATTTATATTAATAAAACACTGATTGGCCAAGAATCCAGGCAGGAAGTATAAGCAGAGTGACCAGAGTAGGAGAATTCTGGGACGAGGAAAGGCAGAGAGGCAGTCACCAGCCAGAAGCAGAGGAAGCAATATGAGAATGCTTTACGGAGAAAAGGTACCAGGCCATGTGGCTAAACAGACAGAATTATAGGTGAATTTAAGTCTTAAGAGCTAATTAGTAATAAGCCTGAGCAATAGGCCAAACCGTTTATAATTAATATATGCCTCTGTGTGTTTATTTGGGACTGAATGGTTGTGGGACTGTAAACAGAAAGTTCTGTCTACAACTGTCCACATACAAAATTGCAATTGTGTAGAATATTTTCTAACCAAATTTACATACACTACATATACCTTCTCCAAATAGCCTACGAAAGGAAAGACAAGCCTAGGCCATGGTCTCCTCTCCTAGGGTACAATGCTCCTGATCTGGCAGTGGTGATGTCACCACACACATCATGATGACTTGTTCATACTCGGGATTTTCTTTAACCCATAGGACACTTATCTTGAATATTTTTAAAACATTCCTTTTTTATGGATGAGAAAACTGAAGACTAGACGAGTCCAAGTTTCAAAGCTAGGAAGGAGGAAGCTGGGACTGGAAGCCAAGTCTGTGATGCCAAAACCATGCCTCAATCACCACTACACAGCTGCTGGGAAGGAACTCAGTAAGTCCCAGTGAGTCTGCCTCTGCTCCTGTTTCCACCTACCATCTACACATGTGTGCGTGTGTGTGTATGTGTGTGTGCTTGACTAGAAGTTAGTGCAGTGCTCCCGCTGACATGGGAACACTTCAGCATTTGCAGAAAAACACGAGACACAAATGATTTATCCCGAGGGAGTGAGCATATGATGGAGAGCTCACGTGCCTTGGTCCTTTCTTGCTACTTCTGGATAATCAATATAATCTTGGGGTCGGAGACTGCAGAATTTAGGTTTTAGAACTGATGGGTGCTTAACTTAGAATAGTTACAAAGTGAGTTGACACTATGCTATGGAATACGAGTCTGTTTCTTGTAGATGTGGGCTAGTCTGGTGTTTGTACAACTAACTTAAAGAACTACTTGAAGAATTTGATTTAAGCTGGTTAATACTCACTTTCTTACTAGAGGAGGAGTGGATGGGAAAGGGGAAGGTAGGAGGAGAGGAGGGAGGGACAACTTTGGTGGGGATATAAATAAATATATTAATTAATAAAACAATAAGCTCTAAAGACTTTAGGAATTTTATACTGTTAACATGAAAGCATGTTCTCAGCTGCCTAACCACGTGTGGCAGTGCATGCATGTGTTTTGACGACTGTTTCTAACACATGCCAAGTTAGAGGACAGCATCCACTCAGCGTTGTCTTTGCATCCGGTACTTGTTTCAGGTTTATGTTTTCTGTCACAGACACTGTCACATTCTGATCACAAACCTGAGGACTGTGCACTAGAAACAGCTGTGAACAGAGTATTTCTATTTACCTGCTATTTTACACGCAGAAATACTCACTAAGTGTGTGCTACTAGCTCTTTCTCTTTTACTTTGCAGCATTTTAACCAAAATTTATTTTAGAGACAAAGAAATTTAATAATAACCAAATTCAGATGTTACCTTTTTGACACCAATCTGGATAGCTCTCTGTATTACATCCTGTAAGTCATCTGTGTAAGAAAAATCACATATTAAGAACACCTAGAAATATATAGAGATATTATCTATAATTTTTTTCTCTCAAAGTAAAAATTTAAAAAAATCATGTACTAAAACACAGCCAAGTCAGTGCTATTTCACTATAATATAGTAAAACTCGAGTTGCAAAACCTTAAAAAAAGTATAAAACAAGAAACTGAATAATATAATAAGTTAATTATATTTTTACTTTTTGATCAAAAAGGAGATGATGACAGAAGTCAGGAGGTCCAAATTAAAGATGAACTCAATGACTACAATCAATTTATGTGCTGTGTATCTGAAATTTGCATTTCCATGTATATGAGAGGGCGTGCACGTGGGTGTGCCCATGCATATACATACGTGCAGTCTAGAGGGCATCACTGTGTGTCTTCCTCTAGCACTGTCTGGCATATATTTTGAGACTCTCACTGGACCTGCAGCTCACTGTTTCCGATGGACCACCTGGCCAGCAAGCCCCAGGATCTGCCTGTCTCCCTGCCATACCCCGGGCTTACAGATGCATGCTGCTGTTCTCAGCTTTCACGTGGGTGCTGGGGTCTGGACTCAGGACTTCATGCTTTGCACTGCAAGCACTGTATACACTGAGCCATCTCCCCAGCCAGTGTTACAGCCAGAAACAAATGGGCAGCAAATAAAATATAAAAACTCAGTTATTAATTTCATATTTAATCATCCGAGTAAATGTAAAGAGGATTCAATTATTGTTACTTCTAAAGTAGCTATAAAATTTGAGACAAAGATCACCTTAGTTAATCTTATACTGAGTACATCAGCTAGTCTGGCTAGATTATACACTGCACAACTGTAGTAGTGATAATTTATGTCAGAAACACATACACAAACACAAATGCATATATACATGCAAAAGCAAAGCATGAAATCTAAATGCTACATGGGCAAGGAAAGCAGAATGTAATTTACTCGGCAGTTACGTTTATTATATAAATAACATATAAACATATCATCCAAATGTCCAAATGAAGTAGAAGAGTTAAGTTTTCTCAGGTGAGACCTGAGAAAGCATTTTTGTTGTTGTTAAGAGCGACAGGGACATTGCCTGTATTTAGAAAAGCTACCCACCACCATCTAGAGAAGCGCAGCACGGTCAGTTTCTGACTTGGCTTACCGCTGGATGGAATTCTCTCATCCTCAACCGCAAAACCAACCTTCCTGTTCGCACATACATAGTGAGCACAGGCAGTGTGCACAGACACGTCTGTTGTAGACACGCTGCCTTTAAAATGTGTTGTCACCACCACTTCCTGCTTGGTCACCTCACAGCCTCATCAGTGACCTTGCACGTGGGAGACGTCGCCTAGTGATACAGCACTTGCAGAGCTTGTATTGGTCGCTGGCTTGCAGTCTTAGGACTTGGGAGGAAAATGAGCTTACATAACACAAACCACCTGCTTCTGCTGAAGCCTACATTTCATCTTTAAGATATAACTCTATAGCCGGGCGGTGGTGGCGCACGCCTTTAATCCCAGCACTCGGGAGGCAGAGGCAGGCGGATCTCTGTGAGTTCGAGACCAGCCTGGTCTACAAGAGCTAGTTCCAGGACAGGCTCCAAAACCACAGAGAAACCCTGTCTCGAAAAAACAAAAAAAAAAAAAAAAAAAAAAAAAAGATATAACTCTATGGTCCCACCTATATACTAGGTCTTATAGTGGTATATTATTTGTGTTTAATAAATAAAGCTTGCCCAAAGATCAGAGTGCAAAGTTAGCCATACTAGTCAGCCATACCGGCCAGGCAGTGGTGGCACACACTTTTAATCCCAGCAGCCACACTAGTTAGCCATAGAGGCCAAGTGGTGGTGGTGCATGCCTTTAATCCCAGCAGTAGAGAGGAGTATAAGACAGGAGGAGACAGGATCCTGTTCAGGGGCTCAGTCTCAGTCTGAGGTTCGATGGATTGCCCATTTGGACTGAGCATTGTAGAGATGAGAACTCTCTAATGGATTGGCTGCTTTGCTTTTCTGATCTTCAGCTTGAGCCCCAATATCTGTCTCTAGGTTTTTATTAATTATGTTAAAAGGTCTCTAAGTAGAGACACAGACAGGAAGGGGAGAAGGAAAATAGGGGGAAAGACAGCAGTACACTTTTCTTCAATGACACTGCACTTTGTCCTTGGCTGAAAAATGCTCCTTCCTTTCTAAAAGACTGACTTTTTATTATGTGGGTGTGTCTGTAGGTGGGTATGTGCACACGAATGTGCATGCTGTTGGAAGCCAAAAGAGGGTTTCCGAGGTTTGAGAGCTGGGCTTATAAGCAGTTGTGAGCTGCCAGTGCCGGTGTGGGTGCTGGGAACTGGACTTGGGTCCTTCACAAGAGTAGTAAGTGCTCTCTTTTAACTACTGAGCCAACTATAGCCCCTGAGAATGTTTCTTAAGAACTTGATAAATAGGGCAGTACTGGTACATGTCTTTAATCCCAGCACTTGGGAGACAGAGCCAGGTGGATCTCTGTGAGTTCGAGGCCAGCCTACTCTACAGAGTGAGTTCCAGGACAGCCAAGACTGATTCACAGAGAAAAAGAACTTGATAAACTGATGCTGACAGGAAGTAATTGTTAGGTTGCATGCCCTGCTGTTCAAAACAATGGCTTACCAACATGGCTTGTTTGATGTGGTTTATTGTTTTATCTGACATATAATGATGAAGGGTTTTGTTTTAAAACAAGTTCTTACTACACAGCCCAGGCTGGCCTCAAACTTGCTGTGTCCTCTTTCCTCTACCTTCTGAGTGCTGGACTTTCAGACTTTCATTCAGCTACATTAAGTTCTTTAATGTTTCAATTTTAAGAGTGGATTATGCTTTTCAAGATCTACCTTGAGGCAGAAAGTTTGTCTTCATAGAAGTTGCCTTATTAAAAGAAACATTTACCTTGATGCTTCTGCACCCCCCTATAAATTCCTCTGAACATAGGATCTGTCAGGTTGATACCAATATCTGTAGAAAGCAAAAGCAAAAAATAATCATTTAAAAAATTACCTTGAAATATCTCTAAATAAGCTTTTCATTCACACCTTTGTTTATTCGAACAATATCAGTGGGCCAGCCACTTGTCATCACTACTATGATAAATCTGTGGGATACAAAGATGACTAAGATTTGATTTCTGCTCTCTAAAGACTTATGACAGAAGTGATCAAGGCAGACCTATTCACAGGAAATTATGGAGCATTCAAATGAACATTGAGGGGGATAGGAAAGTTCACTAGAAATAGAATCAAAATACAACATATACACATATGAAATTGTCAATAAAATTTTCAAAATATTAAAAACAAGCAATTAAAACAGTTCTTATGGGACACAGACAAGGAATTTCTATCAGAGTTTGGTGGCTGGTTCAGAAGAGGGTCCCAGAAAGAAATGATCCTGAACTGAATGTTACAGGATGAGTTATGAGTTGGTGTGGTGATCTGAATGAGAATGGCCCCATAGGCTCAGTGGGTAGAACTGTTTGGAAGGACTAGAAGGTATGGTCTTGAAGGAGGAGGGTGTCGTTAGGAGTGGGTGTTCAGGTTTCTAACGTCCACGCCATTCCCAGTTCTCTCTCTCTCTCTCTCTCTCTCTCTCTCTCTCTCTCTCTCTCTCTCTCTCTCTCTCTCTCTCTCTCTCTCTCTCTCTCTCTCTTCTTGCTTGTGGATCAAGATATAAGCTCTCAGCTACTGATCCAGAGACATTCCTGACTGCCGGCTGCCATGCTCCCTGCCATGATGTCGTGGACTCACTCTCTGAAACTATGAGCCCCAGTAAACTTTTTCTTTTCTAAGTTGCCTTGGCCATGGTCCTTTTCACAGCAATAGAAAAGTAACTAGAAAAGTAACTGTTTCAGGGCATGAAACAGAACAGTTCTTTAGAAAGCCAAAGGCTTTTCAGGTGCTGAAGAGAAGCACAGGAAAGGGTCTAGCCAGAAAGGCCAGGTCAATTATGGCACACACTTGTGTTTAAAAATACTGGATTCAACAGGATGCCTGATGATTTTTAATCAAAGGGGCAGGATTTGCACTGAAGACATTCATCCTGGCATTCTGGAAGCTGAGATCTGAAGGGAGCAACAGAAGTTAGGGTGTCTCATTTGGAAACTGGCAAAAGCTCATGCCCAGTGAAGACAGTCTGATACAGCAATGAAAATGAACATGTAGAGAAGGAAATAAATTATTTCCTTTATTCACCAACTACACATGGAGTCTGACTTTTGTCAAATGCTGTATGAGAAGTTAGGAAATACACAGAATTCTTGGTCCTTCCTTATGCTATGGGAATGTACGGTATTCATGAGAACTACAAATATAGCCTATAACATAATAAGCTACACGATAAGCAACGGAAAGCCAAGAAATCCCATCTAATTCATGTATTGCATCACTTGGCCCTAGCACAAAGACTGGCCTGTGGGATGCACTTAGTCTGCACATTAACCTGTAGGGGACACAAAGGAGGGCAATACGGTTACAGAGAGTACTGGAAAAGCTCCACAGAGGATCTGGGTCTTGAAGACAGAGCTTAGGCCTAAAAGCTGAAGGCACAGGGCATTCTAAGCACAGGTGTGTGTGCACAGACATGCTGTACCTAAAACACTACAAGAGCTCCATGGTGCCTGCAGGGCAGAGAGTCTCCAGGAAGAAACATGCTGCAGTACCTCACTCCTCTCCGTCCTCCTCACACCTTCAACATTTGGCCATGTCTGTATACATTCCGGGTTGTCCCCGTGAGAGGAAAGCTACTGGCATCTAGGGTTGAAGCTATGGATGCTGCCCAACATCCCATGACCGAGAATTATCCAATCCACCAAATCAGTGTTGCTCTCAGTAAACCTCGTAGAGCATAAAAGGACACGGGGAGTAAGATGAAAAGTTAGTCATAACCTCCCTTATTTAAAATAATAGCCTGACTTCCAGCAGTAGGGGCAGCTGCCTACCAGTAGATCTCCATCCACACTCCTGCCAAAGGTCAGGTTCTTATTTCCCTGCCAGGGTTCTGCTAGGCTGCACCCCGGGATGTGCTGCTCCAACATTATGACAAACCTTGAGAGGGGAATAGGAGTTTGGAGAACCCAAGAAGTAACAAAGAGAGAAGTCTCGGCATTTGAACCAGCAAGAAAAAGACACAATATGGAATATTACAAATATGTGTGCATGTTAGCATACCAACAGAGATGGATGAGGTTATGAATTCCTCCTCCATTGGAGGGCTACTATGATACAAACACTATAATACAAATATGATACTATGATAGCAGTATCTCGTAGGAGGGCTACTGTGGTACAAAGACCATCTAACACACAAATCCGCACCACAAATACAATAGGTTTATGGAATGTCGGAGCTCACAAGAAATCACTTTCTAGTTTTCAAATACAGAAAGAAAATTAGCTAAAGGAGACAAGCTGAGAAAGAAGAAGCAGAGAAGAAAGAGTCCTTTCTGTCTAAATAATCCTGCCGGGGTTTGGTCTGTAGTTACGAGTCACCACCCAACACCGACGACTACAAAAACAAAAATAAAAAAATAGCCTTTATTGCTTTTAGCCTTTTCTAGCTCATTTCACTTTTTAATGTTTTAAAAATTAATTAAGATATATTCATTAAGGTATTTATTTGTGACACTCCTTAATGAAAACAAGGGAGCCTTTACTGCAGAGGGATTATAGCAATGAAGGTTTTGCTTTGTTTAGATTTGGTTTTTTTAATTGGACTAACTACTAAGACCAGGATAGCCTAACACTTGTAAGGATCCTTCTGCCTGTGTGTCCAAAGGCTTGGCCAGAGACATGGCCACAACATTTGGCTGTGATGAGGGATCTGCAGTAGAGCAGAGAGATCAGGCTCAAACCCCAAAATGAAATGGAGATTTAGAGTCAGGAGAAGGTAGGGATCAGTAGGTAAGCTTCTAAAGGCCCAGCAGGTATACCAAACCCGACTTGTCACATTCTTGCTGAGGGTGGATCCTAGCGGCAGGAGTACTGGAGGGCAGGAGGTGAGGAACTGAAAGTGGTACACTAGGGTGAGGGTTTTCACTAACCAAGAGCTCAGTGTTGGGGCTGGGTCAAGAAGCCAATTCAAGGACAGTCAGATTCCATTTTCTCCAAGGAAGTCTTTGTCATCAACGAAGTGACCAGAACTTTCCTAAACATAATGGAACCCAAAGCAATTAAACACATAAATATCTAGCCCATGATGGGTGGTGCCATCCTTTGGCTGGAAATCCTGGGTTCTATAAGAAAGCAGGCTGAGCAAGCCAGGGGAAGTAAGTCAGTAAGCAGCACCCCTCCATGGCTTCTGTATCAGCTCCTGCCTCCAGGTTCTTGCCCTGTTGAGTTCCTGTCCTGACTTCCTTCAGTGATGAACAGCAACGTGGAAATGTAAGCCAAATAAACCCTTTCCTCCCCAACAAGCACTTTTTGGTCATGTTTTGTCTCAGCAACAGAAACCCTAACTGAGACAAAGTGGTACCGGCGTAGTGTTGCTGTGACACACAAGGTTGTTGGGAGGGTTGGGAAAAGGCCTTGGAACTCTGGGCTACAAGAGTCATTGAATATTAAGAGCTCTGTGGGATGTTCTGTGAGAGCTTGGAAGATAAGACTGTTGAGAGCAGTGCAGAGGACGGAGGCCTGCCTTGTGAACTTTCAGAAGGAAGTTTAAAGACTTTATTGGGGCTATTCGTTATACTGAATTAAGATTCTGTGGTTCTGGTTAGCAGGGGCTGAAGAAGCAGCTGTGGTTAACAAGACACCACAACTGCTGAAGCGAAGCCTGTGCTCTGCTGGGATACTCGGTGCTGCTCGGCTGGAGCTGAGAAATTAGCGGTGATGGAGAAGAAAGCGGCATCACTGAGGTGAAATCGTCTGGGACGTGTCTCCTCCACAGAGAAGCTGTGCTTTATGCTGGCAGCCAGGCTTGGTAATGTGTAAGAGTCACCCAGGTGGTACTGGTTTTGAAGGCATGAAGGGGTTACGGAGCATAGCGGAGGCTTGGCGCTGTGAGAGGCCACAGAGATCACTGGTGAAGGTAGAGCCTGAGGCTGAGTGTCAGTTGAAGACCAAGGATTGAAGAGGTCATGCCAAGAAGTTGAGGCTTGGCATCGTGAGGAGTCCTATGAGAGGCTATTGGTCAAAGTGCAGCCCAGCTGTAGCAGAGACCCCAGCACTTTGGAGATGCCAGTACCATGGATGACCACCAAGGACAGCAGCAGCAGGAGAGTGGAGCCTGCCAGAGCCTAGAAGACAAGCTATGTGTGCTGCAGAGGGTGGGGCTGGAGATCGTGAGTGGATCCCAGACCTTGAAAGGCTGGAATTTGGGTTTGCTTTGATTTGATTGTAACTATGCCCTGGGTTTCCCCTCTTCGATTAAGGAAGTATTTTACTGGAGCCCATAGTTGAGAGACTTTGGATTTTAAGAGACTATTTTAAAGGGACTGAAATTTTAATGGGTTTGAATTTGTAAAGATCATGGGACTTTTAAAGTCATGTTCTAATTTTGAGATCTTAGGGATGAATAAGTAAGGAAAGGTTGCGGCTTAATCGTGATGTGTTTGTGTGTCAAGTTGACACAAACTAGAGTCATCAGAGAGGAAACAGCTGAGCAAATGCCTCCATGAGATCCAGCCCCTGTGGGTGGTACCATCCTTAAGCTAATGGTTCTGGAAACTATAAGAAAGCAGGCTGAGCAAGGCAGAGGGGGGGAGCAAGCCAGCGAGCAGCACTCCTCCACAGCTTCTGCAGCAGCTCCTGCCTCCAGGATCCTGCTCTGTTTGAATTTCTGTCCTTCAGTGATGGACAGCAATATGGAGTATACGCCAAATAAACCCTTTCCTCCCCAACCTGCTTTTTTGTGCTTTGCTAAAGCAATAGAAACCCTAAGACACATCCCAACTCTAGTGCAAAGGGAATCAAAGATTAATTGGAGGCTCAGTTTAGGAAGCCATTTTCACCCTTGCCCCAATCCTAGACAGAGCAGATCTCAGATATTCTGAGGCAGATGGCAGAAAGCTGATTCCAGGAGATTTGCTACCTCGTAAGAGTTGTTCTCTAAACTCAGACTTCTTGTTTGGAGCCATGGTGTATTTAAACCTGCTGGTTCAGTCCTGACTCGGGTCTACCTGCAGTTCTAGTGCTCAGCTGCCTGCTTCCTCCCTTTCCTACAGGCGTCTTCGTGGCTCACAGTCCTTGGTCCTTTTCTCCCTGTCAGTCAGTAGAGCCACGAACTCCCTGATAGGCGAGGACAGCCCTTCATGTCCTCACCAAGCTGAATGGCAGAGGACTTCTGTTCCCCAACTCTGAATCACACTGGCTTCCTCTACGGCCTTCTCCAGGCTCCCACACAAAATGCTCTCAGGCAGAAGCCACTTGCTTGCTTACCCGCCTACCAGAAACTTCTGTGGAAAGTCTACAGTAATTTAGCACTTCGATAAGAGGAGCCAAAGAAAAGTTCAGAGAAACTAATTAGAGTTCAATCGATGAACAAGATCCATGAAGCACAATAAAATGAAATGACTACAATTACAGTTATGGAAAGAGAGCTTGCAGTCAGAACTCTTGCCACTGCCAGTTACTAGCCGAATAATCTTGGTCCCGGCTGAGCCTCCATTATCTTCTTGGTGGATGAGCAGAATTATCCTCTGGCAACAGAATATGACTCAGATCCAAGAATAAAGATGACAGTATTTTGCACATTAAAAGTCCTATAGCAGGTAATTATTATCATTACCAAGTATAGAACAAAAACTGGAACATGCCACCACCATATGGGATTTGAGCTATTTTGTTAGCTGTACTGTTCTAGCATCTTCAGTACTCAGTGCTCCCAATGCAAAAATTTGCTATCCAAAAGTCAACTAAGTCTACCTGTTTGACACCTCCTGTGTGTACATGTGTGCATGAGTGTGTATTAGTATTCACATGCATGTATGTAGCCCTGACACTGATGTTGGCAGTCTTTCTCCATTTACTTTTCATTTCATTCATTGAGGCAGGGTTTCTCAACTGAACCCAGAACTTGCCCCTACAGCTGGTATTGGGCTAGCCTGGAGATCCTCTGCCTCCCAAGGTCCAAAATTACAGACAGGCTGCCACACCCACCTGGGTTTGTTTGGGGGGGATCTGAGTTCTGGTCCTCACCTTAACCAGTGAACTTTCTATTTTGTCTGTTTTGATGGGTCTTCAGAAACAAACACAGCTAAAATCCTATTATTTTGCTTGTTCAGGATGTGCGGATCTATGATAAGGGATAGGATCTTAACTTAAAAGCATTCTTATCAGAAGTATGCTTATTGGCAATTAACTCAAAAGTAAACAAATACTGCTGGGCAGTGGTGATGCCTGACTTTAATCCCAGCACTTGGGAGGCAGAGGCAAGTGGATTTCTGAGTTCCAGGCCAGCCTGGACTACAGAGCTAGTTCCAGGATACGCAGAGTTAGAAACCCTGCCTTGAAAAACAACAACAACAACAACAAAAATAGTATATAACTTCTAGCCAGTTCGGTCAAAGATGTGAATAGTTTGAAAAGTAGGAAACCAAGTGAGAAGGAATGGAAGACACGAGCAATCACTGCTTCCTTCTGACTGAAGGAGTCATACACTGGAATGCCCTGCTATATAGAGACAGTGATGTCTCCATTTTGTTAGCTTTTAAAAATAGCTGTCTTAGAGCGAGTGAGTTCCAGGACACCCAGGGATACAAAGAAAAATCCTGTCTCGAAAAAGAAAAAAAAAAAAAAGAAAGAAAGAAAGAAAAAAGCTGTCTTCAATAAAAACTCCAAGTGGGTGGCGAGTTTATTTTTCAGAGCAAAGTGGGATCATGATGGCACAGTTGGTCCTCAGAGAAAGCCGGATATGCAAGCCAAAGAAAGCCTCACTGACTGGGTTTACTGAATCATGTCAGGGGATGTCGCCTAGATTTAGGGGCACAGAGAGACAGCAAACAAGGGATTTAAAATGGTTTTGGATTTTGTTAGCCTTGAGGTATAATTAATTTCAAGATCAGGAACAAGCGACTCACACCACTGTTTAGCAAACAGACAAATCCAAAAGGTGGGATACCCAGCCCAGATTCCTCAGCAAGTGAGTGACAAAAGATACATAAATGAACACAAGGATGCTAGAGCAGGGGATCCAAAACCCCTCTCTGCATCCTCTCCACGCAGGACCAGCTTCTGCTTCCATCCCAAAGTGTTGAAGTTAAAGGTGTGCATCACAATACCTGGCTTTAATACCTATGTTGTTTGTCCCTATAATAATAATGGTTGTACACTTAAATTGTTTTTAAAAATCAACAGACTATTTTGATACCTATGAAAATTATTTAAAAGAACAAGATTCAGGTGGTGGAAAGATGGCTCAGCAGTTAAGTTGCTGCTGCTCTGCCAGGAGGGTCCAAGTTGGGTTCCCAGCGCCCACATCAGATAGCTCACAACTGCCTGTGACCTTCAGGGGCAGGTCCCTTCTTTTGGCCCTCATAAGTATTTATACACATGTACCCACTCCTGCATGGATAAAATAAATCAATTAATTTAATTGATTTTAATTTGATAAAATTAATTTTAAGTTCAAGATTTAATGTCTATAAAATTTTATTGCAGCATGGACACACTGACTTGTTTATATACCAGGATTGCTTTCGGATAACAAGGTGTAAGATAAGAAATACACGAACTGTTTTCTCTGATATACTCACAATCCACATTAAATATATTTTAAACATTATTATAAAAACATTGCAAGTAAAAAAAAAACTTGAGGCACTTTTTAAAATCTGTGCGAGCCCTTCTTTTTAGTTCTTTGGATCAAGAATTTGGACACCCTCAGCCTAGACTCTAAACAACCGGTAGCAGGTATAGAGACGGCAGAGGCAAGGAGTCCGAGGGGCTCTTGCGCCCTCTCCAGGACACACCACTTCCTAGCACCTCATGTCAAGCTCCGCTTCTGTCCTTTCATGGCCATGATTCAAAGTCTGAAATACTTCCCCGCCTCTCCTTCGCTGTTATTAAATTACGGACTGACTATCTGGGTAACCTCATCACTGCCTCTTCTCACCCTTAAGTAGCCGGAAATTCCACAAAGACAAGGCTCATGATGAAATGACCCACAACTGCACCCCAGAGGGCATGATTCTTTTCATATAACTGGCATTTATATACAGAGTGACACTTAAGTAATCGAGGCTTTTGGGTTCCAAGTTATCCTTCCAACCCTACCCTTTACAATGTCCCCAAAGTTTTCCCAAGTGTCATTTTGAATCCCCGCCGCACTCTCCAGCTGTTGAATGGATCGTGGTACTTGCCACGTAACACAATTTGTTTCTTTTCCACCTGGCTGTGGACCCTGCCACGTTCCTAGGACCCAATGCCAAGTCTATCAGTCATCTGTGATATGAACGGATGCTGGGTGAACCGGTACCTTGAAGGCACTGTCCGGCAGGCCGTGAAGAGTAGCAAGAGAATATAGTGATAAACTCGGGGGCGGTGCTTTCTTTTTCTTTTGTGGGGATGGGGGACTCAGGGGCTAGCCTATGCTAGCAAGCAGCCTACCGCTGACAGACACTCCGACACTTACTGGTCTATTTTCAATTGAATAAAATACAAAAAAGGGGCACAATCACAATTATACACAACTAGTGCGTTCTCACAAATGAATACACACACTCAGGAAACCATCATTGCCGGCACGCGAGGCGTCCCGGAATCCTCTGCACCCTCGAAAGGCCACGCCGCGAAGAGGGGACCCGAGACCGCCAGCAAGGCCCAGAGCCGAGGAAAACCCGCCCTTACCCACGAACTTGAAGCGACTCATGACTGCGCGGCAGGCTCCTCCCCGGCAGAAGCGGAAGTGTCCCGGGAGCACGCTCAACCTTCCGGCTCCGGCTCCGCCTCGCGATCGCCCCCTTCCGGGTACCCGGCAGCCCCCGCGGCGGCCGCTGAAGGTGAGCCGGGCGCTATGGCGTTCTGCGCTCCTCCGGCCTACCTGACGCACCAGCAGAAGGTGCTGCGGCTCTATAAGCGTGCGCTGCGCCACCTCGAGTCGTGGTGTATCCACAGGTGGGAAGAGGGGACCGGGGACTCGGGGGGCGGAGGCTAAGAAGCCCTGTGGGCCGGGGCTGCTCAAGGACTTGGGACCACAGTGACGGGAGTCCGCCCTTGAACCTGGATCCTGTTGCAGCCCTGTCGGCTTCTTTGATCTGGTGGAGACGATTGTGTCGGGGGTGGGACCGGGGTCCAGCGCAGAAGGTTGCCTGAAGAGAATAAGCACAAAATACCTCGGGCTGTCATGGTCAGGGGTCCAGCGCTAACCTTTTCGCGACTCAGTCGTTCCTAATAGCAACGTTAAAACGTTCATGATGTTTAAGTTTGCAGAGTAACTCGGAAGCTGGCGATTATTTTAGCCTTGTTTTACACATGAGCAGCCTCAGGAATTGACCTGCTCACGACTATCCAGCTTCAACGTCAGCGTGGCCAAGTTAGGATTAAAATTTAGGTTTCTAACGCAAAAACATCAGTCTCGCTCCTGGCCATCATCTTTCCTGTTTAGCTTTCTCTGATCGCTCCTTCTCATTACCGATGTGTGGTTTTCCCCTCCTACATAAATCTCTTCAACCAACTGTGACTCTTACTGTTAAGAGCCTCATATGGTGGCATATTCTGGGGGAGACATAAATCTTCGGTTGCATAATGAATTTGAGGGGCCAGCCTATGCTACGTATTTATTTATTTATTTACAAATAAACAAGCAACAATACAGTGTTAAGACATGTAGAATTTCATGACCTAAAAGAAATGCAAGGTGGGTAACAGCCCAAGATGTGTAATGTTTGACCTCCACACTCTTATCCTAACGCCTAGTCTCACATGAAGAACGTCCAAGAAAATGCTGGAAAACTGAGCGGCCCTGGAAGGCCTGCGGAGGTTGTCTCTGAATCCTAGGATGCAAGTCTGTGACTCGACCTCTTTGTTAAGCAGGCGCGTGCTGTGTGCACCGTTGTACAGTTGTTAGCTTCTTTCCTCAGATTTTCTTATTTGTTTGGCAGCATTTGCCAGCTTCTGTTCGGGAGGCCGAGTGAATGACAGTTAATCCTTTGTAAAGCTGCAGTTCCCGCATGGATTAGTGGGGGAAGTGGCAGGTAAACGCACAGATGAGAGAATTGTCAGTTTTGTAGAAGAAGTTAAGCTTTCAAGGGTTCAGGTCCTGCTGTAGCGCACCTGGACATACTGGAGGTCACGATGATGGAGGGAATGCTCATACTAGTTACTATGACAATGCTGGCCCAATGCATTTTAAATCTGACACCCTTTCTCAGTCCTCGCCGAATCACTTCCTTTAAAAAACAAACCAACTGCAAATGTAGCTGTCACACGTGTGGACTTGGAGGACAACCTCGGTGTCAGTCCTCGCCCCTCCCCCTTGTTTGGGACAGGGTCCTTTTGTTGTTCAGCGCTGGGTATGCCAGGATAGTTGGCCCCACGACCATCTATTAGTCTCCTGTCATCTCCTCTCATCTTGAGGAGGACTTGAACTACCGATGTGTGCTCCCATGTCCACCTTTACCTGGGTTCTGGGCCTCCATAGTCGGGCCCCAACGCTTGCACGGTTCTGGGCCTCCATAGTCGAGTCCAAGCCCTCATTGGCCTCCTGGGCTGCTCTCTGGTTCCATCCTAAGGCTCTGTAGTGCTGTGTATCCATCCTGTGGACAGCCTCAGTGCCGGTGCTTGAGTTAGTTGTATTTACAGTTTGTGAGGCTGTCTGTTGGGCTTTAGACTGAGTTTATCCAAATTCATTAAAACCAAGTTATTGTTTTCACTTCCTTGTACTGATTGTTTTCTCAAATTCCCTATTCCAGCTAACGGCATTACCGGCAATTTAGTCACTAGTCTGTAGTCTTAGACGTATCCTATAAGATTCCCAAGTTTCCTTTCTGCCAGCAGCACACATCCGTGTGCATCATGCCTTATTAGACACTGTTTTTCAAAAATCATTTTCCCCTAGAATGCAGGTTATGTCACTGAGCACTTGGAATATGCCAACCACTTTGTGAAGAGTACTCATGGGTGTAGCACGGTTAATAAAAACCCAGAGACATAAATTGGGGTTCAGCCTGAAGGTCAGAAAAGCAAAATAGCCAGCAATCAGTACAGCCTGACTAATGGCTCTTACTTCTGCCTCAGTCTGGAATAGCAATCCTGCCTCCAGGAATCTCAGAATGAGACTGTGTGAGAGCTGTCTTCTCCCGTTTCACCTTCCCCTCTACTAGTGGGATTAAAGGCATGTACCACTACTGCCCGGTTTCTACGGCAAACTAACATGGCTACTGAAATTAAAGGTGTGTGTCACCACTGCCTGGTCAGTAAGGCTGATAAATTTTACTCTCTGATCTTCAAGCAAGTTTTTTTTATTAAAATACAGATAAAATATCACTACATGTGGGACTTTTTTAAAATTTTTGTTTGTTTTCAAGACATGTTTTTCTGTGTAACAGCCCCAGCTGTTCTGGAACTAGCTCTGTAGTCCAGGCTGGCCTCAAACTCACAGAGATCCTCCTGCCTCTGAATGCATATTGAATGAACCTGCAAGAGCTGTTGCGTTTCCCTTTCATGGCAAAATCCTCATTCCTTGGAGGAGAGAGGAAGTGGCCAGCCAGGCTGTACTAATGCAGTGTTGCTGATGAGCCGGGACGTGGTCAGGCTGTATGAATACTGTGTCTGTTGTTGATGAACAGGAAGTGGTCGGGCTGTACGAATACTGTGTTGTTGATGAACAGGAAGTGGTCAGGCTGTACGAATACTGTGTCTGTTGCTGATGAACAGGAAGTGGCCAGGCTGTACGAATACTGAGTCTGTTGCTCTTTGAAGGGCTGCAGATAAAGTAGCCAGTGACTTGAGAGGTCGATGAGGTACTAGAAAGTTGCTCACCTGTGATGTGTTGGTAGGAATGCTGATCTGACCAATCAAGTAGATAACTGTTCTGATGTCCGCAATCATTTTGATTTAAGGGACAAATACCGGTACTTTGCTTGTTTGTTGAGAGCCCGGTTTGAAGAACATAGGAATGAGAAGGACATGATGAAGGCTACCCAGCTGCTGAAGGCAGCGGAAGAAGAATTCTGGCAGAACCAGCACCCTCAGCCGTACATCTTCCCTGAGTCTCCCGGGGGCACCTCCTACGAGAGATACGAATGCTACAAGGTGAGTGAGGCCACATGGCCACTGCTTCTCAAGGACCAGCTTTGTCCCCGCCCCAGACCTCAGCTCTGTATACCACATGCCACTGAGCAGCGGCTACATCTTCCCTGGCAGCGGAACTTTTTTCTCTCATCTTCTCATAAAGTCAGCTCTAAGGTTTTGCAGTGTACTTTTGGCAAAGCACAGTGTTGAAGTGTTTGGTGTGCAGCTCATCTGGGGTCTTAGAGTTAGCCAGTTTGGGTTGGTGCTGAGCGTTGCTCAGGACACTCAGGTAATGTTTCCGTCATTCTTGGTGTTTAGGGAATACAGGCCAGAGAGCTGTGGTGCCAGCTTTCTCGGACTAACTGTAATGTTTGAGCCACAGGCCCCTTGACTGTGGGTATTCTCTCTTACCGCCCACGTCCGCCTGCCCACTGCTCGTCAGAGTCGGAAACAGTGATAGTAACAGTTTTACACACGCGCACACACACATACACACGTATATGTGTGTGATACCTATGTGTTGGTGGGTGTACTTGTAGAGGCCAGAGCTAACTTGGGGCATCTTCCTCAGTTGCTCTTCCCCTCGTTGAACCTGGAGCCCATTGTTTTGGCTAGGCCAGGCGGCCAATCAGCTCCAAGGGCCCTCCTGTCTTCACTTGCCTGTCCCCAGCGGAACAGGTGCTCATCACCCTGCCTGCTCTCTGATGGGCACTGGGACTCTGAACTCAGTTCTCAGGCGAGAGCGGCAAGTACCGTATTTTACCAATTAAGCCTTCTGTCCAGCCCATACTTGGTCATAGAAGCCCCTTGAGTTTTGTCTTCTGTCTCCTGAGCAGGCCTTGTCCGTGGTGTTTGTAAAGGTAGCCTGTGGAATAACACATGATTTTCTCTTCTGGCAGGTTCCGGAATGGTGCTTAGATTACTGGCATCCCTCTGAGAAAGCCATGTATCCTGATTACTTTTCTAAGAGAGAGCAGTGGAAGAAGCTGAGGATGGAAAGCTGGGATCGGGAGGTGTGTCTTTGACTGTGCTTCATGGCCTTTGGCTTGGTCAGCCTGTGAAAAGAGTTTGCCTCTGTGGCTGAGGTCCACAGTTCAGCCTTGACAACTGGACTTTCAGTTTCTCACTGTTTCACAGTGGCCGTCTTCCCATAAGTTGTCTCTCTCTAGTATGTTTTGGGTGTCACTGTTCTCTGTTTTCCTTCGCCCTTCTCCCACTTCTCCTATTTTTCCTGTTCTATCCAGTTGTTTTCCCTTCTCTATTCTAGAGCTGCGGGCATTTTTCATTCAATTTAAGATGTTCAGAGTTAGACTTTAGCGGCTCTTGCCGTAGCATGAACGGTATGTTGGAGGTGACATGAGGAAACAGGAGTCCAGTTTATGTTAGTATAGTAATTAAGTGGAGAGGTTGTGTGGCCCGCAGTAAAGCCGTACAGTATCTGTGCGGGAGGAAATAGACATTCTGGATGTCCCCTGGAGGGGTGTTCATTGGTTGTGGGGGGATGGGTGAGGGCAGGGACAAGTCAGAGGTGGTGGTTGAGATAGGGAAGATGGGTAAGGTGGGGGGAGCCTCGTGTGTCCAGG